TTCTTTGATGGCTAATTGCAAGGTTTTAAAATCCAAGGTTCTACTCACCTGAGTAGGATATAAAATAGTATATTTTTGAACTATGTTTTTCAATGAACTTAGATGTCCTCCAGACCATGATGTTTAGCCTTCAAGATTAGCAGTTCAATTCTGCTATCTAAGTAATTTATATAACTGTGCCCAATATATGCTCTACTGTATGAAAATATACATGCAGCATTTGCAAATACCTTGCCTGTACATGTACATGTATTTACTCCATTTGACATCCCCCATACATCTTTACTTGTGATTACACTTACAAATTGTTGTTTGTTATAGCTGTTGCTACTCAATTGTGTGTGTTATGGCATTGATAGCAGTTGTTCCTTATTCTTGTGTACTCTTACTGACTTCTCTTACTTTCATTGCATTGTGTGATTTCCATCATATTGTATATTGCCTTTCCCATCACTTTAGTTAACACTGTACACCACCTAAGATTTTATTCTCCCTCCTTTACCCTTCCATTATTATAACTATCTCAGAATATTTTTTCTGTATGTGAACTTATTTTTTGCTTTGTATACTTGTGATTTCATACAATGTTTGTCATTTTCAGATTGACTTATTTCACTCAATGTACTATCTTCTAGTTTCATTCATGTTGTAAGATATTTCTGGAATTCACTTTTATTCTTTATTTTTATGTAGTATGCTATTGTATATACGTATGTATCAGAGTTTATCTACTCAACCCATGATGCACATTTACATTGTTTCCAACCCTTTTCTGTCATGTATAATAATACTACAGTGAGCAGAGCTGTGCATATGTTTGTTTTACAGCTCTATTTCTCTAGGATATATACCTAGAATTAGATTGCTGGGTGGTATGGTATTTCTATTTCTATCTTTTTATGGGGAAAAACCCTAATGTTTTTCGTAATATTTGCACCAATTTAAAGGCTCAACAGCAATGTGTAAGAGTCCCAGTCACCCAGAACTCTCACCAGCATTTGTCATTCAGTTATTTGGATCAGTGCCATTATTGCTGGGATGAGGTGACATCTCCCTATAGCTTTGATTCAAATCTCTGTGGCAATTTGTGTGTTGCTATGGCGCTGAAAGCTATGCCACCGGTATTTCCAGTGTTAGCAGGGCCGTCCATCCGGTGTAAACACGTTTCAGCAGAGCGTGCAGACCCCAAGCAGACCAGAAATCAAGAATAGGCTGCCCACTTCTGAGGCCTGAGCCACGAAGAACCATGTATCAGTGGAAAGTTTCCAGGTGTGGTGCCGGAACAAAAACCCCTCAGGTTGACCAACATTCAAAATACGGCTGAGGAAGAGTTGCCTCCACAAATTAGAGATGGCAAGAATGTGAATGGGGTAAAGTTCTTGGAACCTGTATTTGCTGATGGGGCATGACTCAAAAAGTAAAGAGGGAGCCACAAATATCCATTAATAATAGGGACATGGGCTATATATACAGGCAATATGTCTTTAAGAAAATTAGAAGTCATCAAAAGTAAAATGGAAGACTAAAATATTGATATCCAAGGGTTCAACTATGTCTTTAAGAAAATTAGAAGTCATCAAAAGTAAAATGGAAGACTAAAATATTGATATCCAAGAGTTCAACTAGTAAGTAAATATTTCGGAAATGATGATGGCAACATATGTATAAATATGCTTGATACAATTGATGTATGGAATGTTAGAAGAGCTGTCAGAGCCCCCAATAAAGTGATTTAAAAAAAAAGAATCCCTACTCTCCACTAAGGAGTCGCTTTAACCAATACCTAGACATATCCTAGGGGACAGTGATTACATCGTCTTTGGATCTTAGCTCTAGCTTTGGACACATTAGAGTTTGATTTACTATGTGCCGTCTTAGCGATGAAAGATTCTGGTTTAGAAAGCTTACTGGGTAGAATCCACTGCAAAATGGGTGAGAAAAATTAAAGCCATACAAGTATATCGTTTCTTTTAAAGAAAGTCCGCATTTTCCATAATAAGCAAAATTGAATTGCCTTTAAGTTTCTTTGTAGATGAAGGTACAGTCAGAGGAAATGAAGAAAAAGAAAGGGAATTA